GCAGGGGCCATGCTAAGCTTCTCTGTATCGTTCCAATTTTAGTATATGTGCTACCGAAGGGAGCACTTAGCTAGTATTTTAAAAGATAACTTATTCTTCCTGGAAAGGGTGATTTAAGACACTTTTGCATACTGTAAATTTAAAGTAATAAATATTAGTAGTTTGGCAAAATGTTTTCAGAGCCTTCTAGGTGTTTGATATAGAAATTATTGTTCTAGGAATCTATGTAAGGACAATAACCCAAACCACCAGGAAAGAAAGAATTCTGAAAGACTTTATTGAAAGCAATCTATTTAAATATCCCAAACAGGGCGAGTGAGGTCAATTATATTCCTATGTGCCGGAACCATCATAGATTGTATGTTTATATTTCATAAGTTATCCAGAGGTAAAAATTAGTGTAATAGTAAAAAGAACCCAAAATCTGGACTGAGAAAACCTGGAGACCCAGCCATGGCCCTCAGTTAAGTCATTTAATCTCATTTCTATCAATAAAATGGGGTCGTAGAAAAGTTGACTGGGCTTCTTGAGAAAATTGGATTAGCAAGCCTTGGATAATGTATATTGTTTTAACCCTCAGCACACTTCACCTGGGACCCAAGAAGTGGGGCCCTCCAAACAGGCTGTTGAAAGCCATGTGCCTGACCCACACAGCAAGTCCGTCATGTAGACAAGCTGCTTCTCTATTTTAATAAGCACAAAAGTCTGTGACCTGTTAGAAGAGAGGCCAGGAAATGTGCTTACTTTTCACACTAACCTTCTGGAAGGAAAGGTTTCCTTTTGCCTGGATCCAACCCACCCCGTTTTCAGATCTTATGCATCCACAGAAGCCACATTTTGCCTTTTTTTTTTTTTTTGGCAGGCAAGTGAAGAACAAAGAAAAAGTGGCATGGGTTCAGTTGGCCAAAAATGAAAGCTTCAGGTTATAATGATCTGACTAGGCAGGGCAGTAAATCCTAACCAATCTGGCCTTGTTTTAACTACCTCTCACTGTAGGTTAAGCTCCGAGCTGGGGCTTGCATTTAGGAAGCCATGACGCTGTGCCAGGCACCTTGCTAAGCCTTTACCTGTATGACTGTGTTTACTCCTTTAGACAACACAGTGGTAACACCACTATTTTTCCTGCTATGCAGATCAGGGGGCTGGTGAAGCGTGTGATCCTTACCCCTAGCTGCACTCCACGGCAGCCCATTCTAAGCGCCCCAGGAATAACAAGCATGTTCCCACTGGCTAAGGGTATTTATGATAACCCAGCCCAAACCGGTGGGCCTCATGGTGGCAAAGGCTGGTTCTGAGCCTCCCTACCTTCTGAACACATTCCGGTCTCCTGCCTGCATGAGTGCCACGAGGGTGTTGGTGATTGAGGTCCCGATGTTGGCTCCCATGATAATGGGGATGGCAGTCCGCACAGTCAGCACTGGAGTGTAGAAAACGGCAAGTTAGCAAGTTTCAGAAGGCAGCCTGGCCATATTCCTGATGTGACCCAGGGCAGACTGAACACGGCTGGTAATCCCCTACAGCAGCATTTCTTAACCTCTTTGGGTTCTGCACCTCGCAGTGAATGTGATGAAAGCGAGGGCAGTTGACCATAGAAATGGGCATGTGGACCCACAAAATTTTTTAGTACATTTCAGGGAACCCACAGGCCCCACAAAGTCTTTCTGAATTCCTCAGCTACAAAGCAACTTTCCAGGAGACCAGAAAACAATGTTTAAGGACTTGTGTGTTTCTTATGGCAAATTCCTGGCAATATAATTTCTTTTTCTACCAAAATTAGTATATTGTCACTATGTCTGACACATGAAAATATTTTAAAGTAATATCTTTTTCTAATTTGGCCGAGAAAAGGCTTTATTTAATTTTGGCTAGAAATGCCGGTTTGGGCTGAAAAGTCAACCGTTCAAACTGGTTCCACTCAGGGCGTCTGTCTTAGCTAAGCCAGAGCAAATATCAGGCAGGTTCAAGTTTGGAACACCAGCTCCCCAAGCTCAGTTGTCCCAAAACCAATGTGTGATATGATTAGACGTCTTTATTCTTAGCACTGAGAGCAGGGAGCAATGGAAATGTCTTGTATCTATGCTGTCCAATATGGCTGCCGCTAGCCACATATGACTGCTGACCCCTTGAAATATTGCTAGTGCAACTGAGCAACTGGATTTTATATTTAAATTAAAATCAATTAAGATTAAATAAAATTAAATAGCCACATATGGCTAGTGGCTGCTGGACTGGACAGTGCAGTTCTAGATAATGCAGTCTTCAAATAGCAGGGTCTATTTTCAGACTCAGCTATGGAAATGAAAATAGGAGGCTGCCTATGACTCAGAGTGGAACACATCACAGTTAGACAAGATAGGAAGATAATGGTGACATGCTTGGACATATTCAGACGAAATCGCAGGCTCCTCGGCTGCAAAGGGAAACATCTGGAATGTCTGGGCTCCTGGACTCACGTGATGAGGCCACCATGCTGACGATGATGGATGTGGAGGTGCTAGAGCTCTGTACCATGACGGTCACCAGCACTCCGATCACCAGCCCTGCCACAGGGTTGGACATAATCGAGTTGTTGCTGAAGAACTGCCCGGCCACTTTTCCTGGAAAAAAAACAAACCCGTGGTCACCTGATGGTGGCGTTAGGAGGGCACAGGGTGCCGGAGTCTCTAGCCAGGGCCAACACCGGCTGTGGGCTGGGGAGCCTGGCCTCTAGTCCTGCTGGCACCCATGGCATCTTACTTCCTTGTGTGTTTTCCCAGCCCTGCCCTGATGCCATGAGACATGCCCCACCCACCCCCAGACCCTTGTTCCTCTTATCCCTTCACTCTGCACCCTCCCATCCTTCAACCACTCCCTCTGTCAACAAGCCCTCCTCTAGCCTTCTGATCATGAACCTGGCCTCAACTGTGTACTTGCCCAATGGGTGCCAGTGAATTTCCTGATGTCCGAATTCCTATCTCTGGGATGTATATAGTTCCAATTCCTAAGATTTATTCTCCAGGAGTGGATCTTCTCATTCTTCTCTATCCATCCCCCTACCCCAAAACCCCAGCTCTACCTGTAGCCTGTCATTAAATGCTGGGAGTGTCATTTTTGAGAGTGTGCCTCTGAGACCATCAACCCATTTCCCTGAGTCCCAGAAAGTGACTTGCCTGAGATATTCAGAGAGCAAAGCCTTTTGCTGATGCTGCCTCGGACCAGGGAGACGAGAAGGGGCACCCAGGGCGTCAGTATGCCGTCCCTGCTCACCCCAAAAGTGCCTCCCTCCCCAAGTCTCCCAGGTCACAAAGATGAGTTCTCTAGAGAGACACCAAGGGGTGCAGAAATCCAGGGTCTTCTGTGTCACCTGGGTCTAGTTTGAATCTCGCTATGCCAATTACAGACTGTGAACCTTAGGACGGATCTCCTTGAACCTAGATCCTCTCCTCTATAAATGGCAAAGGCTTTGGGAAGGAATGTTTAAGACAGTGCCCCTGAAAATGCCTGTACCCAGGAAGCACTCAAAGTGCCAGCTATCAGTGTTGTCATCCATTTGGGGTACAGAGGCGACCGAGCACATGGTGATTTCGCTCCTGAGTCTTCTTCACACTGCACAGCCATACTTAGTCCTGGCAGATGTTTAGGCAACTGCTCTGGATGCTGGTTGCCCCAGGCCAGGGGCCCCTGTCCTTCTCCATCCAAGGCTCAGCTTGGATTTCCAGAGTTGCTCTGGCCTAAGAGAAGGCTCTTATCTAATATTCCTCTTAGGTGTAGGGAGGCCTAAAGAAAGGAGGGGTCCCTTAGATAAATCCTTATGTCACAGCTTCCTGTCTAAGCTTTGTGGACCAACAGAAGGAGCTGGGAGCTTGGAACTGGCTCCCACACTGGCTCCTGGCTTAAGCTGCCTTGGCTAATCATAGCCCTTTTATAATCCTCAGTTTTCTCTTCTGTAAAAGAGGTGCATGACTTCACAAGATAACCTGTGTGGCTTCCAGGCCTCAAATGCAGCTGGAGAGAGCTTGCTGGGTTGTGAGAGTCTGGACCAAATGAGAACACCCCGCCCCCGAAGACCTTTGACCCTTTCATTTGTACCTCCAACCAGCTGGAAAGCACTGCTGAGGACATCCAAGGAGCACACGAACAAGTAGAGGAATCCCAGAAGCAGAATGAATTTCCCGATCCCTTGGAAGATACACAGAATCTTCCCTTTGGTGTCTCTCTCTAAGGGAAGGGAAAAGGTGTCTTAGCGTCTGAAACACTGAGAAGTTTGGTAATGAGCTCAGAAGTCCTCCACCACCGCCCCGCCAGGGGGGCTGTAAGGAAGGCCCCAGGGTGGCAGGAAGCCATGGTTGGAGTTTCAAAGCATAGTGTCCATTTAGTTGAAACCCATGGTGAACTGTCTCTTTAAGATTTGCATTTGGAAGGAGGGGTCCCCTGTGGTCTGGGGCCAGGCAGGCCAGGCTGATGGTTTAGCTGACCCAGTGTCACTGAGCGAGGCAGTGAAGAGTACTTACCATGTTCTCAAGTACAGGGTCAGAGATAATGGCTCTCTTAGGCACCTTCAGAACAGCACAGGCTACTTTCTAGAATATGGCTGCAAGGTAGCAATCTCAGCCTCCACTTGGGGAGGGCTTGGGCCATGCTACATCCTTGATGGCTCTTTTCTCCACTGACTTTTACAGTGGTTCCCGCCTCCTCCCTCTCAGCTGTGTGATCCACAGACAGAGCCTGAACCTGGAAACGTGCAGCATTTGTTTACACCCCGGCTATTCTAGCTGTATAGTCTGTCTTCCAGACGCCTTCTCTGATGCCTGCGTTTAGGTAAGGGGAACCCCCCCACCCAGGAGCTTTCAGAGCAGGGGCCTGGTGATTCACTGCTGCAGGCACAGCACCACAGCACCTGGGACCTGGTCAGCATGCAGCACTATGTCTGGCCTGGTTATAACAGTACCGTTGAAACACTTGTTGAATGAATGAAAGAAAAGAAAAAACAACTGCCCGATCATCACACCATGCTTTGACTCTAAGCCTCTAAGACTGTTGGGTGACAATCCTAGCCAGGACCTTTGTCCCCTCCTGCCTGCCAAGGCTGGCCTCACTTTTACCTGACCACTTGATCCCCTTGTGCTTAAGCTCAGGCAGGTCCCAGGGGTCTTCCGCCTCTGTGGACTCCTCTATCAGTGCCACGGTGGAGTGGGATGGCAGAAGTTCAATGTTGGTTACAGAAGTCCTGGTGTCATCTGTCCAAACAAACGGCAAAAGCCAGGAGGAGTGAGGAATCAGGCCTGAGACTCCTGGGGTCCCCACAGGAGGCCAGTCTGGGGCTAGATGGGAGGCACTTACTTTTGTTGGTCTCCTTGTCTTTCCCAGGCGTGGTGGCCCCTTCGATGTATTTATTGGGGTTGTGCTGGGCATTTTCCAGCTCAGGCCAAGGAGCCATGGTCTGTGGATGAAAAAAACCCAGAGCTTAAAGAACAGCTACTGAAAAGAAATGTAGTCAGTCGCCATGCCAGGGAGAACCAGTAGTTGCAAAGATTCGAGGAAGTGGAGGAGTGTTGTGCTTATGCCTTCTAAGTGTGAACTCTTAATCACCATATTACACTCCTTTGTAGATACTCCTTCCACCCCTTACCCAGGCTGTCACTAAATCAACCCACTTTGTTCAGGGTTCTCCCACGCCAGCCTCAAATCTATGTATCAGTTGAACCATCTTTGATGTCTCTACCTTCTGTCTCAGCTTCTGTCTTGACTATCTCTTTAGTCAGAAAGCAGATGCAAACCTATCCATCTTCATCAACTCATGGCATGCCAAGTCCTCCAAGGGGCCCCCAGTGGACTTAACATAGATGCTCATATATCGGGTTGTCGGAAAAGTTATGACGCATTTTTGCAATGGAAAACAGAAAAAATACGTCATGGCTTTCCCGACAGCCCAATACATTCACTCTGCTTTCCCTACCATCAGGTCGTCTGGGAGAAGCACGACACATTGGACCTGGTTCAAATCTCAGAGGTGCTGCTTCTCAGTGGGTGTGTGTTTAGGCAAGTCCCTTTATGCCTCAGAGCATATAGTGTTGGTTTCCTCCTGTATGCAATGGAGACAATTCTTCATATTTTGCAGGGTTATGAGATTAATGGTGATGCCTAGGGAAGTGCCTGGCACCAAGCAGGCATCCAATGAGCAGTCACAATTATTACTATGCCATGCTGCCTGGATTGATGGCCTTTGTCCACATCGTTCTGTCCAGGCTTCGGCAAAAACTTTCTCATAACCCATTTTCTCCACAAAAGCCTCTCAGTTACATGGAGAGGACGTGTGGCTCTCAACACGCCTGAAAGTCCACTCCTGGCAGTCATTGTCCTTTGACACATGATAGACAATGCAATCCAAAGGACTGGAGCGAACAATTCACCAAAGAGGAAGCACCAGTGCCTACAAAAAACTGCAAAATAGAGTTCAGCTTCATTAGTAGCCCATGGCAAATTAAAAGTTTCAATGATCAAATTAGCAAAAAAAAATTTTTTCATGTATAATATGTCATGTTGGAGAATATGCAGTGAGATGAGCACTGCAGGAAGCTGTGGAAAACAGTTGGCATACATTTTCCATACATCCGACCCAGTTATTATACTTCTAGGAATTAGGAATCTAGGAATATTTTCTCTCAGAAAACCAAAAATACCTGCCTTGTTCTAATCACCTCTTTGCAGAGAGTTTCCCAGAACGTGGGTCTTCCCGATTCCTTCCATTTCTTAAACAGATCTGTGTCCTGCCTACCAGAATGCAAGCGCTATCAAAAAAGAGGATTTGTCTAGTTCATCACTGCACTCTCAGGGTCTGCAGCTCTGCCTGGCACATTGATAGTGCCCAATACATGTTGACTGAATGAATGTGGCACAGACCAAAAAGTCTTTTGCTACACTGTCATTAGAGTTAAAAAATAAAACTAGGGAGATTATATTAACTATGGTACATCTTTGCAGTGTAATAGCATGTCATTAAAAAGATTATAAAGGGCTGGCTGAGTGGCTCAGTTGGTTAGAGCACGAGCTCTGAGCAACAGGGTTGCTGGTTCAATTTCCACATGGGCCAGTGAGCTGCACCCGAGCTGAGCTGCCGCTGAGCTGCCAACGGGTGTCAGGATGGCTCAGCTGGTGAGAGCACGTGCTCTTAACAAGGTTGCCAGTTCGACTCCCGCATGGGATGGTGGGCTGTGTCTCCCCTGCAACAAGATTGAAAGTGGCAAATGGATTTGGAGCTGAACTTGCACCCTCCACAACTAAGTTTGAAAATCAACAACTTAACTTGGAGCTGATGGGTCTTGGAAAAATACAATGTTCCCCTTCCCCAAATCCCCTACACTGTTCCCTTCCCCAATTCCCCAATAAAATCTTTTTTAAAAAAAAGATTACAAATAATCAGCAAAAAATAAACAAAAACCAGGAAAATGCTTTAGATAAATTGTGAATAAAAAGCACTTTTTTGTCCCATCCAGAGCATGATCCAATAAGGATCCAGAAATGTTCCACTTGGTTTGGAGTAAGTGGTGGGATTGTGGGTGATTTTTCTTGTATTTGAAATTTCTAAATTATTTTAAGAGATGCAGCCCAATCCCTAAACCCACAAAGGCAAGATGGTTCAGGGATACCTGTATTGTTACTGTCATGCATACTGACAAAGCTAGGAGTTAGAAGAAGCTGATTCTCCGAGTCCCCATCATGAAGGGGCTTTCGTGAACTGGTTGGTTTAGCCCACGAAACTTTCCCCACACAACCACAGAGCATGGCACATGCTTCCGTGATCACAGGAAACATCCTGCAGTCATTGGCGTCCATGAAGGCACAGGGCTTTCATTTCAGCTTAAGCATCCAGCACGGGGCCTGGCACACAATAGACCTCATGTGCTTTCTGAGTAGGATGTTAGGATCTGTCTTGCCAGTGAGAGCCAACATTTATTGAGCCAGGCTGTGCTCAACTTCGCAGCCACCCATTCAGGGAGCTGTTATTCTTCCATTACACAGAGCGAGAAACTCCAGCACAAGGTGACTAAGTAACTTGCCCAAGGTCTCAATTGGTAGAGCCTTGAATCCTAGTCAGTTGGAATCCAGAGCCTTCTCCTGCAGCTGCTCTTGGGCTTGGTATTCTCTGCACGCCAGTGGCAGGGCTGCTTCTAACTTCCTTCCTCCTGGAGCTGCCATGCCTGTCAGAGGTGGACTCCTCCTTCAGGCTCTGAGAGAAGCCTTCCTGCAGCTGACAATCAAAGCTGGGGCAAAACCTGCTGTTCTCAAGGCCTGCTGGACAGGGCTCCTTCCTGGGGTGTGCTGAGAGGCAGCTACAAAGCTGGGCTGGGCACGGGAGCGGGGGAGGAGCTGGGTGACTGGGGAGGAGATCCAGGCTGAGTTGGGAGAATGCCAACCTCAGCTCAAGGCTGCCATGTGGGAGAAGGAGCTTAAGTTTGAAACGGTACAGAGCTTAAAAAGAAAATACATGGCTGGCCCAATGTGCCCCCTTTTTTTTTTTTTTTGACTAGTTTAGCTCAAGTGTCTACCTCTGTGACACTCTTAATGCAGGAATCCTTAGCCATAATGTCTTGGTTAAAGAAACTAATAATCTTGGAACTCAGTTTCAATCAGACACTAGGTTGGACACTTTATAGAGCATGGAGGTTTAGAACCAAACTCCAGCTCTGTCCCAGATACACCATGACTTTGGGCAAGTCACTGGACTGTTCTGTGCCTCAGTTTCCCACATGTAGAATGAGGTTTATAGCTCTAACCCATTGGTGTATTCAGCAGCTTCAATGAGTTAATGTCTTTGCAGTGCTTAGAACAGTGATCTGTTCAATGAATTGGTTCTTGTCACGCCTCTTAGAGACCCTGTGAGGGGTTGAGTGTTATTACCATTTCATACATGAGAAAACCAAAGCTCCCAGGGTGAAGCCATTTGGCCCAAGGCTACAGGCACAATGAGAATTTCTGCTGACTCCAGAGTCTGTGCTTGTCCCTCAATTACATGACCTGGGACACTGCTAGAAGGAGTGAGTCACCCACTCCTTCTAGCATTATTATCATCAAAATGAGATGTAGCTGATAAAATGCCCCATACTAGGCAAAGGGAAATGCCCCGTACTAGGCAAAGGGAAATGCCCTGGTGGAGGAAGTCAGTCTCCACTGACTGTACACAGGGAAGTGAGAGCTCCGGGCACCTCTCGCCCCAGATATTTGTACAAAAGCATCCAACCTGCGTGCACACCTCTAGGCCTCTTATCTGCACAGTTCACGGGGTATTTACAGCAGCCAGCACTTCAACATCACCCTGATACCCAGATCACTTCCACATCACCCCAAACCTTCCCCTCTATGGAACTTTCCTGTTTGTGTGATTCCTCCTATCCTCCTCTCAGAACCTCAGTGTCATCTCCCACAGCCCCAAATCCAGCCAGCACCTAGACTTGCTCATTGTATCTGGGACCACCTCGGTTTTGGTCTCTGGTCCTGGTGTCACCTCCCCAGGCTGGGCCTCAGCACCTCACTGGACCAACACAGCAGCCTGTTAACTAGTTTGGGCCCTAGTGTCTCTCCACTGGTTAATTCTTCTAATACACAGCTGTGATCGTGGGGACTCCCCACCTCTGCTCTTGCCCAGGGAGCCCCTCTAGATGCCAATATTCCTTCCCCCTTAGTTTTGAAACTAAAAGTGTCTCCAGACATTGCCAAATGTCCCTTGGAGGCTGAGAACTACTGGTCTAAAAGTGAGGAGACTAAACTTTAGATCCCAACCGCCTTGGGTTCAAGTCTCAGTTTTGCCATTTACTGTGTGACTCTGGGCTAGTTACTTGGCCTCTCTGTTTCCCGAGATATTAAACAAGGTTAACAAAGTTCTCAGATCATTGCCTGACATATTGTAAATCTTGTATGCTTATCAGCTATCATACTAAAACAAGCATGAGTATATTGTATAGAATGCAAGATTTATATAAATTAAAGAGAACGGGACACAGAAAAGCTCTTTGAGCATGCAACAGGCTATTTATTATTCTGGGCTATTCACAGACCTCCAGCGGTTCATATACCTGGCTGTCTGCTCTTGAAAGAAGTTTTAAGAAAAAATTTGAAAATTATGACCTTCTACCACCTTTCTTTTTGTTATAATCTTAATTCACTCTAGAATTATTCTCCTATCCCTTATGCCCATTTATACTGCCTTCTCTATTAGAAGTTTTAGATAGCAGGGGCCATCTCTTATGCTTTTCTTCTTGTATGTAGTAGGCACTTAACATTGGATAATGGAAGAGTCAACATAATAGGGATGGCTGGAGGAATTCACTTGATCCATGTTGATCATGACTAGAAAACAATCAAGCCTGACTCTTACTGGTGAGTGGTTGGCCCTCATCACCATATGCAAATTGGTTTGGCCAAGATCTGATGGGTGGAGCAAGT